GGATCCGGCCCGTTTGGAATGAATAAAACTAAAAAAAAAAAAGCCCGTACCCTTTTATGTAATGATGTTTACTTTGAATTTATATTAGTTCACACAAACACTCCATCCATGCTTTTGTTCCGGCCCTCCGGTCCAGTTTAAGAACCCATTGTGGCCCTCGAGTCAAAAAGTTTGCCCACCCCTGGTAGTGGGAGAAATCACCAAGTCCAGTCAAAGGGTTAAGTACTGGGACGGTGACTCAGGCAGGGACTCGGGATTCCAGGGAAGTCTCCTAGCCTGGGATGGGATGGAATGAGGGTAGGGGCTGAGCTGAGTCTTTTTAAAGGAGCAAGAGTCAGTCTGGTGACATGCAGGGGACATGGCACTTCAGACAGAGGGGAGAGCATAAGTAAAAAGAGTAAAAACAGAGGAGAGGACAGCACCGTGATGGCGAACCTTTTGAGCTCGGCGTGTCAGCATTTTGAAAAACCCTAACTTAACTCTGGTGCCGTGTCACATATAGAAATTTTTTGATATTTGCAACCATAGTAAAACAAAGATTTATATTTTTGATATTTATTTTATATATTTAAATGCCATTTAACAAAGAAAAATCAACCAAAAAAATGAGTTCACGTGTCACCTCTGACACGCGTGTCATAGGTTCGCCATTACTGTCCTAAGGCAAAGCTATCACTGGCTCCTGCCACCCTAGCAAACAAAGATTCTTTAATATAGCAGTCGAGATTTAACAAAGGATGACCTAAATCTGCCTTTCCAGAATTGTATCTCATTCCTCACCTACACAAAATTTCTGCTTCACCCACCTACATGTCCATATCTTAACTAGAATGTTCATCTTCCCCATTTATTCTCTTCAAATTTTGCATGTTTTTCAAGGTCCACTTTAAAAACCATCTCCTCTTTGAACTTCCTCTGGATTATAGCAGCCAGAAGCAAGTGTTTCATCCCTTAAACGCCTGAAGAACCAGGTGATACTGTAATTACTATCTTATAGGTACATTTATTATCTCCTCTGCTAGACTCAATTAAGATCCTCTAGGAGAAAGGATACATGTCTTCTACCTCCAAAACAACTACCATTAATTGAACATATATGCCAGTCACTATTTAATACTCTTAATAGTTTTATGAGGTTTATCTCTTTTTTACAGATGAAGAAACCAAGACTCAAGGAGGCTGGAGCTGTACCCAAAGTCACATGAGCTGTTAAGTAGTAAAACAAGCTTTTTCTAACACATTACATGAAACATGAGATATGTGGAATGAACCCTGGCAGGGGAAAGGTTGTCAGGTCAAATAAATTTGGAGGATTAACAAAGTTAGATCACTCTTTTTAGTAGAGGGCTTCTCAAAGCCTTTAATATGATGCTGATAAACCTCATAAATCTCCAACAGGGCACATTTCCCAAAGTATTTGGGGATAAAATCTTTCTCTCAAGGACCATGAGCTTTATAGGGCTAGTGTTCCATGAAGCTCATTTCAGGAAATGTGGCAACGTGTTCTGTTGTCTTTGAATAGCCACTGCACATAGGACCTCAATACACATTTCTTGAAGAAAAATTACTCCTCATAATAAACAAACATACTAATGTAATTTCATATATTAAAGAATAAGGTAATTTTACTCCTTTATAGCAGGAGGTCTCACGTATAATAATTACTTCACTAAACAGTACTCAAATTTAGAAAGTCAATTTTCATTAAACAGATTAAAAACAAGATTAAGAGAAATTTATACCTGTGCTTTTATGATATGCATAAATCTTGACATCAACTCAGGACATTCAAGGAGAAAGTGAAAGTGGTCAAATATAATTTTGGGATTTCTGAAAAAAAAATACATTTTGTTTAAATGAACAGAAATGATGACTACCATTAAGTGAAATGCAGATTCAGATCTATGGATATTGAAACAGAAGAGCAACACACCTACAATACTTTCACTTGTCACTGAACATTACTTTAATAGTTTAACAGAAGTAGCATTTTTTTCTGTAGAGATGAAAACATAAGTAAAGAAAGAAAAGGCTACAAGTGCAGTCCATGAGTCCAAGAAAGCCTTACCTGTTAACAAAGCATTTTAAGACTTCATCGTGTTTGCAGACAAATTCGATGAAACGGGGTGAAGTCATTCTGTGGGGAGTAAAAAAACAAATTAGAACACACAGACAAAAGTTGATGATATAGCAAATTTGAAAACTATGTATTGAACTGGACTGGACTGGCTTCTAGACAAAAATTGGGTTTGGATCGTCTTTACAAATTAAGAAATTGAGGCATGTCTACCCAATCTATAAAATGAAAAAATATAAAATTTTCATTAGCATATAAACAAGTGACTTTTTTAAAACCTTGAAATGTTAATAAGCATCTCTGGTCTATACATTTCAAATACATAATAAAGTGATCCTATACAAAGTGGCATTCAGCATTCCTCATGCTAATAACTTATAGAATGCCTATCAAATAATTCTAGATTGGTATGAATATCCTAAAACTAGATCAGAATAGAACTTAAAATCAACAAACTACCAGCTGTTTTTACTGAAATTACGTAAAATAAAATAAAAAATCATAGCTTTTCTTCATCTATCAGAGAAGCAATAAGCATGCCATGTAAGCCTTGACAGTTGGGTTTCCCGTTTTGTAATGCAGGCGCCTGACTTAAGTTTTGGTTGCCAAGGCTTCTGCTTCAAAGAGGCATACACTTCAAAGATGGCTATCTTTAATAAACACATTGCCAGCCACCCAACTAGATAAGAGCCAGGCCACCTCCCCCCATTGAGGCTCCTTTGTTTTAGAGATCTTGGTTGACTTGGATAACTGACCATTTAGGCCACTTGTTTTTTTCTCTTCCCACACTTTAAATTCCCACTCTTATGTTTTAAATTCACCAATAAAGACTGAGCACCAGAAAACCCCCACCTTCGACCCCCCAAAAAGCAGAACACCAGGCCCATACCCATACCGCTTGTGCACTAGCTCTCTAGTGGGCCACGCTCTTGCTCTCGCTCTCTCCCTGTGACCTCGCTGTGTGGCCCCAGGTGTGCCATGTAATTTCCAGACCTTGTAAGTAATAAACCTTTTTTTTTTTTCAAAGTTTCCTGATGGTTATTGCTAAAGGGCGCCTTGCAATCATAATAAGAACCACAAGGGCTAGACCAGCCACCAAATTGGTTATTGATAGGCTGAGACCTGCACAAAAAACAAAGCAGAAACCCTCTTACCCTGGAGGCATCTGACAAGAACAGCACATGTAAAAAGCTTGAATGACAGCACTTAGCCGGTTAGCTGTCATAGAAATAACATCCTGACAGTCTGCACCGGCTTCCTGTTTCCCTCCTAGAGCATCTGGTTTAGATTCCCTGGTACCAGTGGATAGATTTTCATAGCTCCCAGGTCCTGGAGGTTCAAATGGAGGAATGGAAGTACCATCTTGATCTTGGCCTTTTTGTTTTAGTAAAATAGAAGTGATATCCGTTGAGTCCTTTTTGTTTTTCATCAGTTCTGTAGCTATTAAAACTAGCCATTCATCTAATGAGTGCCAAAGCAATTCGAGAGGCTAAGAGAAAAAGAAAAGTTTTTTAAAAAATATATCATTCTGAAACTCCAGCCAAACAAATATTATCAAAGAGAAAATTTACTCTAGATACTACTATTTTCCCTGGTTAATGTAACAGCAATGCCTATAGGCAAGTAACAAAAAGTTATGAATGTCATATAAATGACAATTTCTCCATTTATAATGAAAACTTAATTTGCATTTATGCATTCCTTGGAATAAAAAGGGAAAACTAAAACCTAACAAAAAATATATAAGCAATCTTCTTTTAAAAATTTTTATTTAGTTTTAAAAGCATACATGCATATTCCAATGGGTTCTTATTTTCATTCCTTTACACAGCGGTTCTCAACCTGTGGGTCGCGACCATTGGAAAACACATATAGCATATCAGATATTTACATTACGATTCATAACAGTAGCAAAATTACAGTTATGAAGTAGCAACAAAAATAATTTTATGGTTGGGGGTCACCACAACATGAGGAACTGTATTAAAGGGTCACGGCATTAGGAAGGTTGAGAACCACTATAAAGTTTATAGAGATATAATTGGCATAAATATTGTATAACTTTAAGGTATAAAATGTGATGATTTGATACACGTATACATTGCAAAATGTATACCATAATTTTATTTTATAATTCTTATATGACCACAGAATGCTATAAACCAAATCATGTATTTTGGAAAGACACACCCTTACAATACTTCAACTAAAATAAATAATATTACTTTTAAAGACCACTATGGGAAGAGATTATGCAACCATATTTGGAACCTTAGAAAATGTTTAAATAACCTGTTCTGTCAGAAAATTATTTCCAGTTATTATCTAACAAATCCCTCTGCTACATCTTGTCTTCCTCCAGGTTTCCATAACATTCTCTTTTTGAAAATATTTCACTTACTGAATTTAGAAACAATTAAATCACCCTAAGTCTCCACTTTAAATGTTAAACCAAAAAGCAGAAAACGAAATAAAATAAAACACCCACTACCATCAACAAAAACCTAATTCACTCATTCAGCAAGCATTTAATTAGTAGGCACTTGGTAAACAGGTAAGCAAAAGACGAAACTAATTATACCCTTTCTGAGGCTGAAATGAGCACCCCCTTCCCCACAAACAGCTTTTCCATGATTAGGCACAGACTGCAGCTGGAAGACTCAGTGTCCCTGAGCTGCTTAAACAAGAGGCAAAAGAACTGGCTGCCACAAATACTGACATAATACCTTCACTGAAATGTGTTTTTTTTTTTCTTTTAATCCTCACCGGAAGATATGTTTCTTGATTTGAGAGGGAGAGAAGAAGAGAGGAATAGAGAGAAACATCGATGGGTTGTTTCCTACACTCGCCCTGACCTGGGGTCAAACCTGCAATCTGGGCATATGCCCTGATCAGCAATCAAACTCACAACCTTTTGTTGTACAGGATGATTCTCCAACCAATTGAGCCACCCGGCCAGGGCTTCACTGAAAATGTCTTTAATTCTAATCATGATTCAAGTTTGAGTCAATAGTTTCAGTTCATGAGCAAAACATTTAACCTGCTATAAAAGACGAAAAGAACTTATGTCAACAAAACTATTTAGCTTTACATCAGAAAATGAACTTCTAAAACAGAAAGAACAGGTGGTAATGATGTAAAACTGTTTGAAACAAAAGGAAAAAGGAATAATAAGCCTCTAAATGAGAATGGCTAAAACCTAGAAAATCAACCATTGGATGGAGATGAGCCTAAGGCAGGAAATGATTCCTGCTGCTCAAGCAGACGAGAGCACTGAGCCTGAACCTATCACAATCTTATTTTCAAATACTGACAATGTGCAAAAATGAAAGGCAAAATTTGAATAATCCAGAATACTAAAAAAACTAGAAAGTTTTCAATAAAGGAACACAGCGTAGAATTAAAAGAAAATGAGGGGAAAAAGAGAAGTAGTTAAATCATCTTAGGCCTTTCTTTTCTCTCTTTACCAGCTTTTCATTTTTCATTCACACATGCACCAAAACAAAATCCCAACCTTGAGGTAGTTTTACTTAGGGAGTTACCCCTTTAAAGATTTGTGCAGAAAATTCCTTCCTCAACCACAAAAGAATACTGTGAAAATAACTTTAATTTCTAACTGTGGTATCAGCTACAGACAAAAAGATTATAATACATTTTAAAAATTAAAAGTAAACCATATCTGTGATGCTTTCTCTACTCATAAATAATGATAAAAACATTAGACAAAATACAAAGCACTGTACAGATCAATGACTATGGAAAATATGAGCCGGCTTCTTGGCACTGTGGAAATATTGCTTCATTTTAAATTATTGAGTGATCTTCACCACAGAATTACATTCTCCCTATAGTAATAATGACAATCATATATAATTTTTAAAACATTTGTATATGTAATCCCCACTTGCAGAAAAATTAGAAATTTTTCAAGATCCACGTGCCAAAGTGAGATACAAATCTGACAGGAAAGCACTGCTAACTTTACTAAGTCCATTAATAGTATCTTGGATTCTTGTTAGTCTGACTAGTCTCATCTTGATAATGTCAAATGCCACAACTCAAAAGATAAGATTTTATAGTTAAAAGTTTCTCAATCTTTCTTGGCTTCCAATTTTTCCCAATTATACTTCTATGATACTGTTAATAGTCGCAGCTTACTATTCACAATAGCATATCAAGATTGAGGAACCCTAAACTCTCTGGCCCATGCTCACCCTTCTTCTAAACCAGAACTGCCTCCTCCTACAGATGCTCCGAGAGTTCCATGGCGCTAGGTAAAAATCTCTTAAAACTAAAAAACTAGGTAAGTGTTCAGACAAATTTAAAGGACTTCTAAGATAAATGAGAAAACTAATAACAGGATGTTAAATAATTTCACCTACTAAAAACACACGGCCTATAAACCTACTCATTTAAATGGAAAACCTGTTAGTTAATTTTAATAGAGGGACATGCTACCTAGTTAATGAAATAGAAAGTGGGGGTCAATTGCTACCTTAGAAAAATGTAGTAAAAATTAAAATATTTCCAACTTAACATTACAGCAACTCAGCAAATGTTTAAAGATTTTTACAACTTGAATCATCCCACAATGAAGAGATCTTATATACATAAATGACAATGTAACTTCTATTTTTATTCTTAAAGTGGAGAGCTAAGTTTATAATAAAAATGTTTTAACAAAGTGGCAGATCAAAATTTAAGAGAAAATAAGTGATCAGAGGCAAAAGCAGTTGTCAATAATGCAGAAAATAATGACTTAAAAAAGAAATAAAAATAATAACAAATAAAATAAAATAAATATAAATATATATATTTAATTTACATATACAATAAAAATACAGAGTCTGGATTCCATGGGGAAAAAAAAACTAAAAGAAAAACAGTGATACCTTTTTCTACTCAGTTATATATGTACTGACTGGGTAGGTAAAAAACTAACAAGCATTTAATGCCTACAGAGAGGATATTCAGCACATACTTATTTTCTGATAGCAAATAGATGGCAAATTCAAATTTTAACCAAAAAAATCAGACAATAGTGAATATAATGGTGACCATATCTATACATGATTTGATTTTTCTATTCATAATTGTAAATGAGTAGCAAGAATGAGTAGAAAATAAAATCAGGGGTAGGTAGATTCAGTAACTAACAGCATGAGCACATTAAGAACAACTCCATTTAAAGTGAATGCTTCAGCAGTAAAACTCACTTAAAGCAGCATTGGAAAAACAATGAATCAATAATTTAGATTAGATTTTTACACAGACAATAAATAATCACTCCTAATATTCAAGGAAGGGGTGGTATGTGAAAAGCCAAAATTTGAATTACAATACGATGCATAACTTCCTTCTTCCAGGAGGTGGCACAATAGGGAAAGAAAAAAGAAGAGAAAAAAAGTGAGATCTCTTTCCAATACTAATTTAAAAAAAGAGAGGCAAGGAAGAGAGAGAGAGATAGATCTCTCTAGCCCCTGAAGCAGACAAATAGATGCAGAGATACTTATACATACCTTCCTAAAGGCTATCAGACCTATTCTAAGTATTAAGGAATCTACTAGTGTCAAAATGCTTACAAACCATTTATTTGTGTCTGCCAAAATTTTCCATGTAAGGATCATTTAGCATAACTCATTAATTTAACTTCAGATTTTTACAGACAGTAAAGCTGTCAATCATAACTCGTTTTGGAGAAAATGGCACATAATAGTGGTTATATCAGTTTTTGGATAGAGAACCTATATTTACACTCAACAAACTGTTTAAAAAAATATGTCTTTATGAACTCAAAAGCAAATTTTATACTATGAAAATTTCCTAAGATAAAATACCTTTAAAAAAATAACATGGAAAGTTATTAAATTACACATTTATCCAAAATCTGAGTTACCTGAAAATATAATGCCATAAAAAAGCATTAATAATAGCAATTGCAACCATGTTCCTTTTGTTTACTTCATAAAATTATCATTTAAACGAGTAGCAACACTGCCTTGGGTTTTATATGGAATCATTCTTCCAAGGATTCCATCCATAAATGTGCTTATATAACAGGAGCAACTGAAGCAATACAAAATGTTTAACAAAATACATATCTCAATGATTCTTCCTTGAAGTGATCCCAGGAATTAACTGTTGGTACCCAGTAACTGAAAGTAAACTTACTTTGAAAACATATACACACATAATAATAAAATCTAAATAAAAACTCAACAGTTTCTTTCCTTCTGAATAAGTAATATTTTTTAAAAAACATAATGGCTGCATATGCCACCTTAAAAGATTAAAAATTAGATTTGGTCATGTTTAACATTAAATATCTTTACCTTTAGAATAAAACACTAAAGGAATTAAAAGTTTACTTGTAAGAAAAATATAAAAGCTCACCAATTAAGACTTGCTGTTGATTAAACAGAGATGAAAGGAGGAAGGTGTGTCCTAACTTAAAAAGTGATACAGGTATGAACCAAACTTACGTCCTGTGTATGAGGTTTCTGATTAATGAAAGCATGCTTTGTCAAATTCATCTCTTTTACGTCTATCTTCATAACAACGTCATATACTTTTCTGACCTTGAACACCTGGCTTCTTGGTGTTTTATTCCCGTTGTAGCCCATATCGATTCCATTACTGGGAGAGGAAGGACCAATTCGAAAGACATGACAAAATATCCTCACAATCCTTAAAAGGCTCTTCATTTGAGCATCATAATTACTAGACAGGCTAAAAAAAAAAATTAAAATATGAACAGATTAGATAGAATAAAACAAATTACATTTTAAAATATCTATTTTAAAACATTTTCATGAATTGGCCATCTGTTTCATAATTTAACCAGTAAAATTCCTTTCCTGTCTTAACAGAGAACAGAATGTTTTAACAGGAAGTTACCAAATATATATTACTTCAATTGCATATGAACAAATTATTAATTTTTAAGTCACCAGAATATAACCAATGGTCAAAGCATAAAATATATAAATATTTGTTTTAAGTACCTAATCTGGAGTTATCTTAAGGTAAGAAGTATTTTCTTACAATGGAATCTTAAAATTATCAACTATTAATATAGCCTAATAATTTTATATTACTTTACCTAGTTTAAACTTCTTCCAGACTAATTGGTTGGTCTAAAAAAATGTTATTTTTCACTTTCCAACCAGTGAAATCTCTCTTTTGTATGATACAAAAAAATTATAAAACCCAAACTTCACCATACCCTTCTCAGTTCATCATAAAATAATTTCTTTTCAAGCCACCAGGTCTCAATATAAAAGTTTCAAAATTAGTTTCCTAATTTAAAGCACTACCTACCACCTTTGGTTTTTATGAAAGTACACCTCCAGTCAGTGTCTTACTTAGCAAAGGTTGTGATTTCTCTGTTCATTTACACATTGTTAACTATCGTTACCTCAATCACAAATATATAGGAAGATAACTCATTTAATGAAACAAAATATGTGTGAAACGGCCCTCAGGAAATATTTATTATCTTTATCAAATACTCCTAGAATCAGTTAGACAAAAGGCTATTCAGCCGAAACCGGTTTGGCTCAGTGGATAGAGCGTCGCCCTGCGGACTGGGAGGTCCCGGGTTTGATTCCGGTCAGGGGCATGTGCCTGAGTTGGGGGCACATCCCCGGTGGGGGATGTGCGGGAGGCGGCTGATCGATGTTTCTCTCTCATCGATGTTTCTAACTCTCTGTCTCTCTCCCTTGCTCTCTGTGAAAAATCAATAAAATATATTAAAAAAAAAAGGCTATTCATTTTTCAAAAGTGCGCTAAATAACATCTCAATTATCACTAATTAATATATATTTTCCCACTGGGGATGTGCCCGCAACCCAGGTACATGCCCTTGACCAGAATCGAACCTGGGACCTTTCAGTCCGCAGGCCGACGCTCTATCCACTGAGCCAAACCGGTTTCGGCTATATTTATTTTCTTAATTAAAATTTCTATTAAAGTAAATGGCCAAAATTACATCACTTTGGGGTTAAGAAACACAAAATGATTCACAAACAAATGAATAAATGAAAGGCAAACTGCAAAAATACCATTAAACATAATATAATATTAAATATCAATTGTAATTTAAATGTTTTTAATTTTAAATATTATTAAACATAAATTGGAAGGGGGAAATAATTTGTATTTAAGATTCTCTTAAGAATCTACCTTGGTAGCTGTGAGATAATAGTAAATATATCTATTGGTCTCTGCCCCCAGTTCCTGGGGAGCTCCTAAAACCCTTATAATTTCCTAAGTGGTTGGGGCACTAGGAGCATCTTTTGTTCTAATAGTTGGTCTTTGATGTCAATTCCTAACACAGAAACCCTAAATCTCTTGGAATTTCCTGGGTGAGAGCACTGTCTGTTGTTCTACTGAGGTGACTCTTGGCGGGCTGTGGGATAGAATGGAAGCTGGTCACGAGAAAGGCCAAGCCATGATTAGAAGCTTGGAATTTTCAGCCCCCCTCACCCCAAACCCATTCTCCAGAGAGAAGAGAGGGGCTGGATGTGATGTTAATGTTTCACATGCCTATGTGACAAAGCCTCCATAAAAAGCCAAAACATACGGGGTTTAAGAAGCATCCGCGTTGGTGAACACATCCATGTACCAGAAGGATGATGTCAGCCAACCCCATGGGGACAGAAGCTCCTGTGCTCAGGACTCTCCCAGACCTTGCCCTAAGTATCTCTTTATCTAGCTATTCATCTCTATCCTTTCTCATAGCCTTTAATAAATTAGCAAATGTGTTTCCTTGAATTTGTGAGCTGTTCTAGGAAATAATCCAATCCAAGGGGATAAAGGTCATCAGAACCTCAGCTTTGCAGTCAAGTCAAAGAGAAGTTATGGGGACCTACTACTTGGGATTAACATCTTAAGTGGGGGAGGGGAGCCTTGTGGGACTGAGCCCTTAACCTGTGGGAACTGATGCTATCTCCAGGTAGATAGTGTCAAAATTGATTTAAATTGTAGGACATCCAGCCCCGTTAGTGTGGCTTAGTGGTTGGGTGTCAACCCAGGAACCAAGAGGTCACCAGTTTGATTCCCAGTCAGGGCACATGCAGGCTTAATCCCAGTAGAGGGCATGCAGGAGGCAGCCAATAGATGATGTTTCTCTCTCATCGATGTTCCTATCTCTCCATCCCTTTCCCTTCTTCTCTAAAAATCAATAAACACAGATTTAAAAATAATAATAAATCCATTGTAGAATACCCAGCTGGTATTGCAGAACTGCTTGGTGTAGATAATAAGTGTTGTGAGTGTGGTAGTGATAGGAGAGTAAAGGAGAAACACTGAAGGAAGACTAGTGTACTCAAAACAGTAGCAATTCACTAATAATCCCAACAAAAGCCATAACATATTCTATCAAGCATTTGAAGAGTAGTATTGTAAGTACAGACAGTACAGTTTAGCAAAGTAGCTTTAAAATTTGTACTGGCATTAGATCGCTTTTTCCTACCCTGCTTCCCCTGTTCCACTAACCTTGTTGCTTTTAAGAGCTAGATTGAAATCTAGAATCTGCTTTTTATAAGCAAGGGTATGAATCCTGGATCTTCTATGTATTAGCTTGGCATATCACTGAACTTCACAATTTTCTTATAGGTAACACAGAGATAACAGTATCTAAATTACAAGGTTACTATGAGGTTTAAGTAAAACAATGCATGTGAATGTTCCTTAGCTTAGTACCTACTTAATAAGTTTTAAAGATAAACTTAAAATAAAAACATACATATATACATAAAAACATAAATGTTTTCTGATTACTGAAGAAGAGCTGAAAATGGGACAAAGATTTAGATAGAAAAAACAAGTAAATTTTTTAATGTAGGAAAACAGGTTAAAGGTATTATGGGGGTATTTAAAACAATCATCATTATCTCTAGCATTTTCCATTTATATCATCAAGACTATTATCACCGTCATCTCCTCTATATGTGCCTGGCACTTCAAAGCACCTTATTATTTCATTCTTACAACAATTCATTAAGACATTTACTACCATTTTCCAAAAAGGAAATAAAATCCTGATTGGACTGTAAATTAAACATAGGGAGAGATCTTGTCTGTATTTTTCACGAGCACCTAGCAGATGGTCTGGTGGATAGTAGGCACTGAAAAATAAGTATTAGATGGCCCTGGCCAGTGTGGCTCAGTTGGTTGGGCATCATCCATGCACTAGAGGTCACTGGTTCAATTCCTGGTCAGAGCACATGCCTGGGTTTTGGGCTCCATCCCCAGTGGGGGGGTGTGCAGGAGGCAGCTGATTGATGTTTCTTTTTTTTTTTAATATATTTTATTGATTTTTTACAGACAGGAAGGGAGAGGGACAAAGAGTTAGAAACATCAATGAGAGAGAAACATCGATCAGCTGCCTCCTGCACACCCCCTACTTGGGATGTGCCCGCAACCAAGGTACATGCCCTTGACTGGAATCGAACCCGGGACCCTTCAGTCCGCAGGCTGACGCTCTATCCATTGAGCCAAACCAGTTAGGGCATGATTGATGTTTCTTTCATTGATGTTTCTCTCTCTCCCTCTCCCTTCCTCTCTCTCTAAAATCAATAAAAACATATTTTGAAAAAAATTAAGTATTAGACGAATGGGTAGATGACAGGGAAACTATGAAAAGTTACTTGCTGAGATCACAGTAAATGGTGATGTCTGGATTTACACCTGAGTCTGGTGTAAATGCTTTTATTTAGTATGTCTGAATCTTAGGAAGTCCTTATCCAATAAATGGATTAATGGAAATGACTAAATAAAAAGAGAGCATTATGTCAAGCTGGAATTCAATAACTCCTACAGAGTCTAAAGTAGTCTCAGAGGTAAAAATAGATTTTAAAAATTATCAACTGGTATATTGAATGAAAGTACTGAAGAAACACTTAATGGCTGAAAGAACACAAGAAGGTGACCTAGCAAAGATCCTTTGAGTAAATAGTAGAGAATGTGATTCTGGTCTGAAGTATATGGAAAGTATGAGGAAAGACAGAAGAAAGGGGTAACATAATGGATTTCAAAATGTAGCTGACTTATAGAAGCAAAATGTAGCTGGGAGGAAGAAGTCCGGTTGCAACTAACCGAGGTCAGAGAAGACCATGACCTATTAAGACTATTAATGTATTAAGAATAGAAGTGAAAAGACTATTACAAAGTGGAAATCATCCAAATTAGAAGTGGACTAAATTTGTAAGCTACAAAATAACACATTAACCATTTCTAAATGGCTGTTTATTCCTAATTGGAGTAGCTAACCACATACAAATAAGTGTAGTTGCAGGAAAATGTAATATATATAAATGCAAATATTATAAAGGCATTAACTCCATGGACTGAGAACCACATAATTTTTGGAAGGAATAAAGAACTGGAAAGGGGGAGAGTTCAAGGAGAAAATTTTATAAGGAATCATTAGGGAGCACTGAGAGGTTGAACACTAGCGTATACCCAGTTTTACATATTAGTTATCAAGATTCCTCAATTGCTTTCTTGATTCTTTTTACTGCACATTTTACTTACATGACTGTTCTAAGCAATCATGTTGTAAAATTCTAGACACATATGTCCAAATCCACTTAAGACCCTAGTTTTACCTCTTTATGGAAACTAAAGTCTCCTTAGTAAAAGTTGATTGCCCTGGTTCTTTAAAACAAAATACACAAGGATGTGTCAGCAAATTTTTAGAACATCTTACCACTGACAAAAGGCATCCAACAAAATAAACTATTCCCAGAAATGCCTAAAAGGAGATGAAGCTGACAGATATTGTTACTATTGATCTGTTTACATTTGAAACACTCACCTAAGCAGTTTATGACCATTTGTTGTGGCAACCTCAGCAAGGCTTGTTAAAATCCTTAGGTACTGGCTTTCACTTTGCTGAGACAAATGTTCTAGAACTTGCCGTAACTAAATTTTTTACAAATAAAAAAATGTGATTATATAAACTTTATCAAGAAATTAAGTACCTATTAGTTTAATAAGTATTCCCAAGCCAATTAGCTGAAATCAAGTCCTTTACAGTTATTTTGTCTTGCATAAATTCAAAAGCTAATATAGAGATAAGATGACCTAAAATCTTTGTTCAAAATCACCAAGAAAGCAATAAAAAAATAGAAACAGAACAGAAATCACCAAGTTTATTTATAGAAATTTAATTCTAAAATTTAAAAGCAATATAAATGCTGCAATTTTTCAAAGAGTAGAGCTATTCTAAATACAGAGCTCAGTAAAGTAGTGATTACCAATCATAACATGATATTCCTTAGATCTTTTTCCTCTAGCTGTGGGGAATATTCTAGTTATCTTTAGGAGAAACCAAAGACCCAGAGGAAAGAAGATTCATAGGGCCAAATATTAGCACAAAGTTTATTAATTATTATATAATTCATACTTATCCTATAATGAAGATAAACAAATTTATTAAAAATATTAAAATATTCATATTATAATAAATTATTATAATATATACATATTTAC